TAAAGGATGATCACTCTTAGCCATTTAAGAGCTCATCTGTGCTTGTATATGGTGAACCATTAAAGTTAAGCCATATAAAGGGTGAGAGGAGATGATACCCACAGATGTGAATGAAGACACACAAAAACCTGTACGTATATCCACCCACACACCCACCCGTGCAGCCACACACACACACACACACACACACACACACTCGCACATGCATAAACACGGTCACTGCAATAAAAAACAAACAAACAAACATAGCAAAAACAAGAACTAGTAAAATCTCCACTCCAGCAAATCAGTCACTCCGCCAACAGGGCCTCAAATAAGCCATTACACCGCATATTCAACCAATAAAAGGGATAGGATTAGGGCTGTTCGATATAACGATATATATCGGATGACGATATAAAAACATCTATTGTTTCCTATTATCGTTTGTTTCGTGGTGTCGTAAAATAAACTGTTTACAGGAATATTTTTTCACCGTTTTGATGGCTATATTAATTTCTTAAAGTTCTCTCTTTCTCTTATATTTAATAAAACCACACTATGGATGGACAAGCGCCTGTTTTTACGTGTTGTCATTAGCAGCAATGACGGTAAAACCATCGCGTGGCTCCGCTGTCCTCTTGTTTGTTTTCCTTGTAAACCTTTCACAATAAAGCTCAAGATCCTGTTGAGACTTTTCAAAATAAACGTCAAAGAGTTTGCAGAGAGTTTACGGATGAGAAGCAAAAAAGAGCCGTCAGGTGCTAAAAAAATAAACCTTAGAGTCAAACTTTGAAAGAAAATGGTGGCCTTTACAACTTATGTCTAAAAATGTATAGTTTCATGCATCGGTTAAAACACTCGACTCCAGGTAAAGGCCCAGTTGGAAACACTTCACGCAAGTTGAGTTGCCCGAGATTCGCATAATTTACAGAAAATGTTACATTTTTGTGATTTATATCGTTGTCAGGACGATAAATGTGTTATATCGGGATATGAGATTTTGGTCATATCGCACAGCCCTAGATAGGATAGAGGAGGACGAGCATACGGCCACATTTTTAAATATTTCTGTCATATATTCTTGGGGATCTCATGTAATATTGGTACCAAACCATTATTACACAGCTACAACTAATGGGTTTCAGCCCAGACTACAAAAAAATACATGTACTAGTAGCATGTAAACCCAACCCTGGCACATACAGATAAACATTGTGTGTCTCCAAACTTGCAGTGTTGGTCTTGGATATAATTTTCAAATATCTCAAGTTAGATTCAGAACCATCCTGAGTCTCATAACAAACACAAAGAGACGTTTGTTTCCAGAACATCCTCAGTCATAACCAGTGTTGGGACTAACACATTATTAAGTAACTCGTTACAGTAACTACGTTATTATTGTGGTAACGAGCACGGTAACTAGTTATTATGCCAAAACC